AGCACCGAGGGTCACATGGAGGGGGCAAGTTGTATCAAGGATGATTCAGGGTCAAGCTTACCTGGTTCATGGACCTGAAGGGGGTCGTGGGGATCGAGGGAGACCGAGGACTCTGGCGAGGACGGGTAGCCCTCTAGAGAGCAGTCCTGCGGCGAGAGGGCGGGGAGGCAGAACAGTGATGGCAGGGCAGCAGGCGTGGGGGTCTGCCACTCGGCTACCCCCATGAGGCGGACCCCACGCGCTGAGGGGAATCGGGTGACGAGGGCGCCTCGGGAGACAGCACAGACCCGAGGGTAAGGCTGCCGCCCGTGCCGCTCGTTGTGGAATTGGTGTTGCTGCCCCCGTTCGAGGCGGACGAGACGCGCTTGCTGTTCTCGTCTAGCGGGATCCCGTTCTCGTTCAGGAACTCGTCCAAGTCCCATGTACTCCAGCTGTTGGGACAAATAGACAGCACGTGAAATAAAAAAAAACTCTTGGTCAGCGATAAAAGTTCTCACAACAATACTAATTGCGTGACTATTCCTAATTAACAACAATAAAACGACTGCTACTAATATAACAATTACTATAATCGATTACATTTACAAATGGCTAATTACTCTTTAACACTTACATCTATTATTAACGACACGGGCCGAGTGCTTCTCTTGTTTTCCAAAATACATACGTAGCACTATGACATTAATAATAACTGAATCTTAAAAGAAAATCAACACCATTCAAACACAACGAAAACATGCCGAGGACTATGCCACCTGAGGGGATTCACAAACGCACGGGTATCAAGTGCACCCATACTTTCCGCAGCCTCCTACGGAAGCCTTGACGACGAGTCGTAGGATCACAGGTCTTATAAGCCCCACAGTGTCCGGGCCCAGGAACGCCGAGCCCTGCATCCAGCATTATACTGTCTTCCTCAACCAAGCTTGCGCCACACTCTCAGCGCCTCTTTCTTCCCCTCCTTCCCATTCTGCTCCCCACTTTTTGACTGGCCATGAGAAAGAAAAAGAATGATGATTTAAACGTGGAATCTCTTAATAGAACTGAAACAATTGGTGCTAGGATACCTTTGGGAAAGTAATCTCCTTAGGAATACATATGCAAAACTTGTATATAATAAAAAACACTAATAAGATAGATCAATCATACTTAAATATCCAATGTCACCATGAACAATAAAATGTACACTATATCACATTCATAATCTATGAACCATGAGCGCGCAGTGTGCCCGCGCACGGTAGACGGCAACGAGTGTCATACTCACTTTACGACACATGGATGATTTCAATGGGACCAGCATCATTACATATCTGAATATCGTCCAGTTCTTTAAAGAATGTATGATTTGGTAACATCACATACACCCAGTCGATGGAACGTCGTCATTTATTGGTATTCGCGTATGCTTTCACGTACGCGCGCACACACACATTTCTTTCCCTAATACAAGTACTCTCGGAACCGCCATTAGCGACCACTTATGCACCGACAGGAACTAAATCCCCTTCCACTCCTCGTCCTATCCATCCATGATCTTCTCATTCTTTCCATCGATCGATATCCCCCCTAGTCCTTCTTCTTCTCGCAGACGTCTCTCTACGCCTCTCTCTCTCTCTCTCAGCTCGTTACAATTTCTCTCTCTCATCTCTCTCCAACATCAGCTTAGTAACCCAAACACCACACGACAACTTCAGAACCACACATCAACACACACGAGGGTTGTCTTAATAGATGTGGTGACACCCACACACACACACACAGAGCAACACACACCCAACACACCATCACACACACACACACTGTGCTTATCTACATATATGGAGAAAAATGAAAAGGTATTTGTGTAACTTATATAGTACTATCTTATTTTTTTTTCCTTCGTTCTCATTCTCTTCTTTTTACTCCTTTCCTTTTTCCTTTCTACAATCCTTGCTCCTCTTCCAGTGGAGAACCAGTTTGCATAGCCACTTGCATACGCATGAATGAACCACGCTGCGTATGTTGACCCGAGTTGCCTGGACTTAGCAAGCTGTGGGCCAGGCTGAGAGCACGCGGAAGTGACACGTATATCAACTAATCATAGTGACCAGGCAGACAGACGAAGGACTTAATTTTCATACACAGTATCAACAGGACACGAAGATTGAAAAATGATTTTTACAAATTTTATGTGCCGATGCAGAAAAGCCGTGGGATACAGACCTGCCATTCAAAAATTTGCACACACTTTCACAAACCAAGTGACTTGCCTGAAAGTTCCAATCGCAAATAAACTGAAATGTACCTCACCCTGACCCTCCTCAACATGTGCAGGAGATACTGATCTCAAACAAACAAAAGAATAGATGTACGTGATGGGTGTTTATCTTCTAATCACTTCTTATCTTTCTTAATTTTATAATCTTTTCCATTTCGCAGATCTTTTTCGACAGTCAATTACAAAATCAATTTTGCAACTAAGATGAATCATACACTCTGATACAAATAGGACTGATAA